AAGAGGACTGGACGCTCGATTCCCATGGCATCTTTGACCATGAACTGTGAGTCCTTCCACGTGGTTCATTTACATTGGGCTGGCAACCAGCCCAAGCCAATAACTGCGTCGAAGGGGCACTGATCAAGGACATAAAAGTTCAGATCATGCGTGATTGTGCGGTCTGCGTCAAAGGTATTGCGCACACCTTTGACTGCATGCGTAGAGGTGACAACCTCTTGGTTGCCCACTTGGGTCCGACAAGGATTCTGCAAGGTCACTTGCTTCATTCCCAAGCGTGCCTTACGAATGCCGTGCGGTGAGAAGTAGTTGGCGGTTGCACCACAATCAGCCAACGCAAGGATGTAACGACCATTAATGTAGAGTTTGAAGGGCTATTAATGTAGAGTTTGAAGAAGATCAACTTCGTTCTCCCTTGTACACGTTCTTGCTTCATATGAGCCCAGCGCGTCAACAGAGCAAGAAAGTTGAATTCTTTCGACTACACCCAAGGCTCCTTATAGAGGATGTGCAATTTCTCAGCCTTGGAATCATAACTACCCTGTCAAAATCATATCATATATATCCCTCACGGGATTTGAACCCGTGTCTTCGCCATGAAAAAGCGATGTCCTATACCCCTAGAGGAAAGGGACGAATGAATGTGCTTGTAGCTCAATTGGATAGAGCACCAAACTACGGATTTGGGGGTTGAGAGTTCAAGTCTTTCCAAGCATGGGCCTATAACTCAGTTGGTTCAACATCAGATGGGGTTTCAAGAGAGGTTTGCTGAGTGGGATCAGAATCCAGTGAAGGATCTGCACTTACATGTTCAACCTCTCCGTCTGTGGAGTGTGCTGATGATGTCTCTACCCCCTTTGCTGGTTTCCCTGCTGCAATCTGAAGCAATGTTGGACTGAATGTCCCGGTTTGGTGCAATGCAGGCAAACCCCTTTCTTCACCCTGTCTTTCCACTCACTTTCACTGATCCGGAGATCTACCCATGGTTTTGTGGCAGGATCTTTCGGCTTGGGTAGAATCTTCGCTTCCTTGGGAAGGAGAATGGTGTTAGTATTGTTCTTCACTGTGGTCCTTGGTCCCTTACTTTTGAAGGGAGTCTTCTTGAAGGCATTCATAGATTCATCATCATTCACATACTCAGACTCATAGGTTGACGAAGAGCAAGATGCCTTGCAACCTTGCTTTTGATCGTCATCAAGAGAAGGATCCTCTGCGAAGGTCTCCTCGTCATCCTCAAGTAGATTGTGCGCTGCAAAACGGTTGCTGCCTGGAAACTGTTTGCGACCGATGGTCTTCAACCGTTCAGAATGACATAGATGAAGCACTGTAGAAAGATATAGCATGGCAAACAAGATACTCCATCCATTCACTCATCAGGCGAGTAGGCAGTTCACGCACTTCACGCAAGATCAAGACTATGGAGGATGGAAGAAGAACCCAGAAAACCCCAACGGGCAGTCAATTCCATGTACACACACATGGGCACCCTGGCGGCACGACACTTACCTGAGTGGTCGGGCCCTTGAGATGAAAGAACTCACCCCCCTCTCACATAGTCCTCCTGACCCGATTAGCATCCTCTACCTATCATCTAGGAGGGTCAACATCTACTGCAAAGTACAAAGCCGGATCCCCCGTCGATGTTGAAAATCAAAGCAGCAACTTGCAGTCCGTAGGTGCAGATATGGCTGCCACCCTCAAGCTCTCCTAACTTGAGGGGAGCCCTAAAGTCACTCCTCGGCTTCCTTGAAGTCCAGATTCAAGTTGTAGGTGCCCTTCAGTGTCGCATCTCTCAAGTTGCATCACGAAGTCCCACCTTGTGTCTCGCCACCACAAACATGCACTCAAGCAACCTGGCCGGGTCTAGTGTCGACCCTACATGGCCCTGCCAGGTGGGGGCAGCTTCCCTTTACCACGCTGCCCCACTTAATCCTAACTTCCGCCCTAACCCTAAGTGGTTAGCCCTTACCACTAGGGTTAAGGTTATGGCAGCAAAGTCAACTCTCGCCAGCCAGTAGAATCCGATCTGATACCAATGTTACAATCCTGGCCAATTTCGAAGTATACAAACATCAGAAAGTACAATGCCGCCAATTGCAAAAAGAAATGAATGAACTTGAGAGGGGAGAGAGGGAAAGAAGAAGAAGAAGTAAGGAAGAAGAAGAAGATGATGTACTCCAGCATAGACCAATGACAAGGCTCTTCTTCCTCGCCAACCAATCTCCTCCTCATCATCTCCTTCCCTCTTATTCAAACAAGAAATACCAATAATAATGTTGAATGGCAGAACCAGAATCCATGTCACTTCTACTGCAGGCACAACATGAGGTCCACCATACCCATGGCCACCCTTCCTCTTCCTCTWCATACAGGCCGAGGCTATGGCGGAGTACTGAGGGCTCTCCCTCCTGTCCAAAGGACAACCCAAAGCAGCTATGCCGCTGCCCTTCTGTCCCCAGGTCAACTCCCTGCAGCTATGCCGCTGCCTACTCAACCGCCATGCCTGACTGTCCCGAGCTTCCTTTTTGTGGCACTACCCCCACTGGGGCCTTCCGGATGCAGTGCCTAACAAGGTGATGAAGATGGTGTCTACCATAGCCAGGTAAGTACCCCGCCAGTCTCCTCCTTGGTGCCCTTCTCCCTCCTCCTCCTACTGGTAGAGCTCCACCATAGCCAAGGTGGAAGCTCCCGGCTTCTTCCTCCCAGCAGCGCTGTAGTACCCAGCGCCATGCCAGCCAGCGCTCCAGCAGCGTGTCGCCAAACTTGCACACTGAAGAATGAGGCCGAGCTCTTGCCTCGACCTCTTGATATAGCAGCCTGCTTGCCTCTTGGGCGGTGACTTTCAGGCCGCTAGGCCTCCCAAGCAACCGGTACCTCCTCCCTTTCGGAGGGAAACATCATTGCAGACTCTGATATTGCTCGTAAAGGCTCTAGACTCACTGTATGGACTGGTACTGGCCTTGACCTAACCTACCACTACTGGGCCTCTAAAAAATTAACTTTGTCTTCTTCTGCTCGGCCTCGAGTACCCGGCACATCTACTGCTACTGGGTGCGGTACCGGCCTACCTGCTACTTGAGTGTTTTTCCCTGCTGCAACCCTCAATGCCATGGCCACAGGTAAGTACCGGCCCTACGGGCCTGCCAAACAAACAAGTACCCTTGCGGGTCACACACACACTCATGCTGACAAGCACTCAGACAGGCACGCAAGTCAACAGGCACGCACACATACAGACTTAGAAAACACAGCAGAATGCGGGAATCTCAGCAAGGCATCCATTCCATAGGCAGAACTTCAGAAATCAGCAGTGTTCTTAGTCTGTGTTATGGTGGGTCGTTACAGGCATAAGTAATCCTCAAAATTTGTTTATTAGTATTTAAAATTTAAAAAGATTTATGTAAAGGAGTAACGAAAACGGGGCCTGATCTCAACGGTCATGATATGAGCGAAACTCTTCTACGGTCAATCCCGAGTTTTTTCGACTTAGCGCGAAATGACTGCGAGCTCGGCAGCGCGGTGGTTCGATAACGGGATATGGTCATCGGACCACCCCTAGTGGGTACCCGTGTCCGATGGCAAGGAGGGGGCTTATGGCCTTTGATGGGGGTAATAAGCCTCTTACCAAAGCAACTACGGGTCGCCCCCTTTTGAAGCTCTGCATCGTGAGGCCTAGCAAGTCACACTCACGGCACCTAAGACGCGAAGGGCCGACCAGTTGAGACCGCCCATTCATAAGCACGGTTCAAAAACGAACCGTTCGTTCCCCCGCGAAAAGAAAAAGGGGAACTAGAAATCTAGAAAGACTAAATAATAAGAAGAATATTAAAAGGGAAGAAAAAGGAATCCCTAGCGCTGCGACTATCAAGGACCATCCGATTTGACATTCCTAAAAGTAGCGGTCTTGATCCAAACTCAGGTATGAAACATAGTTTTTCATTTTAATTTTTCTCCTCTTCTTTTTTTTCTTTTTCTTACATTCTTCCCTCGGAGCTTTTTGCAGTCATTGTACCTATCCCATAACCTGACTACTGGGGCTTGGCGTGCAGTTGAAAAGACGCGCCGGTCTTTCACTATCGTGTCCCTGGGTGAGCCCGGCGGCTACCACGGCCACAAGCGGGTAGTGCTCTGCTGTACAGCTGGCGAGCCTGTGTGGACCAAAGGAAAGTCCAGTGCACGCCAATCTTTTTGCTGTGGGAGAGCCAGCTGGATTAGTCCAGGAACAGGCCGCGCACAGAGCGAGCCTGATACACTACTGAGGGCCCATCAGAGGGGTGTGCCTTGTACACCATGGAGGGCTGGGACACCGCGCCCTCCGACAGCATGCGCGTGCGGTAGTGCAAGAGGAAGGGCGCTGCTGCCCAACCATAGCCGTGCTTGGCTTGGATACAGTCAGCAGAGGTGGTGGTGGTCTTTGTGTGTGGTCGAGGGAGAGAGAGAGATGAGGATGATGATGTGTGGGCACTTGTATGGTCTTGGCGATTGTCTACAAGTGTCAACATCTTCGTGTACTTCGGTTCGGCTGCTGACGTCAACAGTTGCATTGTCAATTCGTAGGCTGGTAGTAGCTGTGTGATCGTAATCTGGGCGCCAAGCGCCAGATATGAGGAAGGGCTCTTGATACTAGTTGGTGATGGCGAGAGTATTCTCATTGACACTCGGACTCAGTGGCTTGGTTCTCCATTGGTGCAATATCGGTGCAATTCTGCTTTCTGGACAGTGTTGGACTTCCTGGCTTTCAATGTGCTTTTGCAATCTGGAATCTGTCATTTCGTTATTGCTCATTTTCCTTGCACTTTCTTTTAAGTCAGGCAGCATAATATGTGACCCAGTGAAACATGATGTGGAGCTGTTTGTCTTCTTTATTTTTATCACAAAATGTGCTGAAATGCTTTGTTGCATCTTTTGGCCTCAATATAGTTCTCTTCATCCGGTTCAGCTCATTTCTCGAACCAGGTTACGTATTGTATCTGTGTGGTAAAATGTTGTGATGTTTTCAGGGTGGTGCAGTAGCAGTGGATGCGTTCGCTGTCCGCTGGGGCACAGGAATGTTTCAACTTGGCCTCTGTACAGCTTACTATGGCTTCATGAGTGATGGTATGTTCATCTCCCCTCTACTTATGGAGTGTGTTTGAACTGTATTAAAACTTGGTGTTTAGACTTCTTCGCCTGAAGATGAGACGCACCAAGAAAGGAAAGGAAAGGAATTGCATAGCTAGATGCTGCTAATGGGTGTCTCCTACTGGACATGTACTGCGTGAACGTGAGGTGTGTGTGTGTGTGTGTGTGTGTGTGTGTGTGTGTGTGTGTGTGTGTGTGTGTGTCTCCACATGTATCCATTCTGCTCTCTGGTTTGACACTGTATGAAAGGTGTCGTTCCCCCTGTCAAAGATTATGTTATGTCTGCTTGGGATTGATGGAGTGCCAACTGGGCTGTAGGGGCCACCTTGGCTGCCCGGATGGCCCAGCCATGCAAGGGCCGGTCGACGTCCCTGCAAAGGAAATGAAAAATTGGGAAAAAAAACTGCCCGGATGGCCCAGCCATGCAAGGGCCGGTCGACGTTCCTGCAAAGGAAATGAAAAATTGGGAAAAAAAACTATGTTATGCAGAATCCCTTCCCTGTCAAAGATTATGTCTGCTTGGGATTGATGGAGTGCCAACTCGGCTGTAGGGGCCACCTTGGCGGCCCGGATGGTTCAGCCATGTAAGGGTCGGTCGGGGTCCCTGCAAAGGAAATGAAAAATTGGGGAAGGGTCCCTGCAAAGGAAATGAAAAATTGGGGAAAAAAACTATGTTATGCAGAATCCTGTAAGTAAACAGAATAATAAAGAATAATAAAGTAAACAATTCTTGCCTCAGGGACGCACCGAAATCTTTATTGATGAATTACCAACCACGCCCCGAGGTCCACCTTGCCTGGACAGCCCAGCTGGCCGTTGTGCCACAAAATGTGTGTGTGTGTGTGTGTGTGTGTGTGTGTGTGTGTGTGTGTGTGTCTCCACATGTATCCATTCTGCTCTCTGGTTGGACACAGGATGAAAGGTGTCGTTCCCCCTGTCAAAGATTATGTCTGCTTGGGATTGATGGAGTGCCAACTGGGCTGTAAGGGCCACCTTGGCTGCCCGGATGCCCCAGCCATGCAAGGGCCAGTCGAGGTCCCTGCAAAGGAAATGAAAAATTGGGAAAACAAACTAAAGGAAATAGAAAATTGGGAAAACAAACTATGTTATCATTGTTATGCAGAATCTTGTTTTCAGGCTTTCAGGCTGAAACGATACAGGGCCTGTAGGCCCTTGTTTTCAGGCTTTTGGCCTGAAAACGTCACGGGCCTGGAACTGGCCCGTGCAGCCTGTTGCAGGCGCAGCATGTAACACCTGCCTGGACAGCCAGCCGGCCCTCATGCCACAAAAAAGAAAAGACAAATCTGAAAAAAAACTATGTTATGCAGAATAGTAGTGAAGTAAACAACTCTTGCCTCAGTGTCACACCGGAATGTCTTACCAAATTGAAAAGAAGGGAAAATTTGCATCATTGCAATTAACCTCTTATATTGACACTCCAAGCATATGCACCATGAGAGTTCACACAAAATCCACACCGAAGTCCAGTGATGGAGAGAGCAGATTAGCGCAGCTTAAAACCTTCGATGGATGATCATATTTGAGTTTGAGTCTCACAGCGCTCATTCAGCGCAGTAGCAAACAGCTTCCAAATCAGGTATGTAACCCAGTTCAACTCTCATGCAACTCTCTTTCTCTCTCTTAGTCTCTTCTCGCCCTCTGTCTCTCTCCCTCTCTCATGGTGTCCAGTGTTTCTTCTCCCTATTCGGCGCTCAGCACCCAGACTACAGTCACACAACTTCGATATAGTCCTATATCAGTTTAGGACTATAAACTCAGATATAGTCCTATATCACTTAGGACTATAATGATGACGTTGCAACCCGGAGAAGAACTCAACAGCAGGAAGCAGAGGACGTGCAGATGTCGCTCAAATAAATCACCATCACAAACCAGGTATGTGCCCTCTTGTCTCTCTCTCTCTCTCTCTCTCCCTTGAATTCTGTCGCATACTGCACATCCACACGGGCCTGCAGTGCCCGACCAGACGGAAAATAAGGGCCCTCCAGGCCCTGTGTCATTTCAGTCTAAAAGCCTAAAAAGGAGGGCCATTTTCAGGCCCTTGTAAAATTGACCTGTCCTGAGACTTAGACGCCAGACCAGGGTTAAGCGCAGGTTATTTTTAGGCCCGTTTCAAGACCACCTTTGTTTGAACTTCAACGCCAGGGACTGGCACGATTCGGCATGGGCAAGAGCAGCCTCCCAGCCGGACGAGCACTATATAGTACTGGTCCGCCTGGCAGGCTGCAGGCAGTTCAAGAGGCAGGAGGCAGTCTTCAGGATTCGGCCGCAGCACTCTGCAGGAGCGCTGCAGTAGTAGTAGTATCGTTAGGAGTAGTCTTTAGTGCTGGGCGCTGTTAGGATCTTAGAGTAGCATTGTAGTATCTTAGAGTAGCATTGGGGGAGAGGAGAGTGTCGGAGGCCTGGGAGACTTACCGGGAGCTTACCTGTGGCGCCATAGCTCCAGCCTCGTCTTCGATGTACCTGCAACAAGGCGCCACCTTCACAGGTTAGTACGGGGGAGAGAGAGAGAGAGAGAGAGAGAGAGAGAGAGAGAGAGAGAGAGAGAGAGAGCTTCTTCGTCCTCTTCTAAGTCCACCATCTCTCCCTCACCCTTTCGCTACCTGACTTCTCGCTATCTGGCAGACTAAGAGAGAGAGAGAGAGAGAGAGAGAGAGAGAGAGAGAGAGAGATTTGTGACTTCGGGATGTTGATGACATTTGGATACAGACTCAACCTTGGGACAGAGACATTGATGGGAGACTATTTGGGATCGATATCGACGACATTGGTGTTGACGACATTCTCATCTTCTCCCTCCTTTCGTCTGATCCCCGACTCTTCGTCTGGGTATGGTCTAGACCTGGCGCATTCTTCCTGTGTGTAGCGCCAGGCCCTTCACGCCTTGCGATGATGATGATGTATGTCTGGTCTGCATTGCAACATTGATTGGTCTGACCATTGGTATTTTAGCCTTCCGCTGCGCTATCCTCTACTGTGTGAGAGAGGTCGGTTCTTGTTCTGGTCGGCACCTTTAAGGTATGCGACAAATTCTCTCTGCTTCCGCTGTTATGAGGATCATAACCCTGGATACATCTGCCTCCTACTTCAGCTAGTTCTACTGCTATTATGCGGCTGTGGCCGCCTGTCGACAGCATAGCGCTGCCCAGCAGGGATCCTTAGCCCTCAGTCACTCGCAATAGCGCACAAGCACCAACAGCGTTTCCACCTTCTCGCGAATGAGCAATCTGCCCAAATGAGTCTGGGCCAGTCTTCTTATTGACTTGGACTGGGCCCTGCCGTACTGGCGTTTGCTCGACTTGGGCCCTGGCTGGGCTCTGCTTGACTTGGTCTGGGCTTGACTTGACTGGTACCGGTTCCCCACGGCCTGTTTGCTTTTGGAATATTGGGCTGGTACCTTCCAAACTTTTCCTTCGAGCGCTGCTCCATTTTGGACTGTGGGACATGACTGTTCATCGGGCACCTTTTGAGTTTGACCTCTGCCTTTCGGTTGCCCGATGTGACTACTTGTCAGTTTCGACTGTCTGGGCCTATTCAGACTTGGGGACTTGCGGCTAAAATGAGATATTTCGACCCTGAAATTCTAATTTGGGATCTGCACGGTGAAATAGACCTTTCACTCTCGTCGGCCTAATTTCGAGGCCCTCCGAGAATACTGCGGATTTCAACGATCAGCTATGTTAACACCTCGATGAGCCCTTTCATATGTTGAGGCTGCAACCTTCTCGCTAGGTAGTTAGTCTACACGACATAAACTCTACGGGCGCGTACTCCTCACCATCATTCCGTTGGAGTACCGCACCAATCCCATATTGGCTTGCATCAGTCGTGACTATGAAAAGCAAAGATGGATCAGCCATCTTAAACCACTACTACCTTTCTCACTGTTGGGAAAAAGGGAACATTCGTCACACCACATTTTTGGGGGGTCTAGACTAGGCTCGGCAAAAAGGAAATGCTTGGGCCTTGTGGCCCACTTGCAAAAGAAAAAAAAAGGAGCAACTGCACTGAGAGGAACGACGTAGGGGAAGGCCGTGAAGTAGGTGTGCTCACACCAGTACCCACGGGAACAAATCTAACTATAACTACAACCTGATTCAGCTTTTGTTTTTTGTGCTTTTTTTTTCCGTTCTTTTGTTTTCTTTTCGTTTCCCTGCCAGCAAGCCAGAGCGCTATACACGCACTGCTGTCACATTCTGATGGAGGGGGGGCATAATCTCACATGAACTGAAAGATTCTGTATGTGACCATTTTCACGGCTGGATCGGAGTTTTTTCATTTTTTTTAATTGTTCGTTTTTGAAAGCAAAATGCTACCGCGTCTCTGTACCCACAATTTTTGTATCCAACTGTTTTTTGTGTACGTAGAGTTTTTTTTTTTTTTTTTTTCCTGGAGTAGGTGTAGTGCCGTGATCACCGCGCCAATACAATGCCCTCGCTGAGGGCATACTCTCACTGCTACCCACAATTTCGTATCCAGCTGGCCAAAATGAGGGCACGTTGTTGCTTTTTTTCCTGTGCTTGTCTTTTTTTTTGTTTTTAGTCCCATTGACGCGGAGCACCAGAAAAGAAAATTTGTTGGAACCCAGGCTCGAGAAAACTCAGTGCGCAGTGAACGGGTCGACAAAAACAGGATCAGAGGCAGTGGTGGTTTAAGAACCGGATACTCGATTAAACACTTTGTCAACTTCTTGAAGGCCAAGGTAAGTCCTTATCCCACTTCCAGACTCTCTTTCCTCAGTAGCCTGTGCATGAGCAGCTATCACTATTAAACACTTTGTCAACTTCTTGAAGGCCAAGGTAAGTCCTTATCCCACTTCCAGACTCTCTTTCCTCAGTAGCCTGTGCATGAGCAGCTATCACTGTAAGTTCCGTACGAACTTCTGGTAATGGTTGGCTAGCCCTAGGAACAAATGCAGTTCCGTCAACGGATGCGCCGCTGGCCAATCTCTAATA